CTGAAGCAGGTGCACCTTAGTCCCCAAACTGCCATCATTGCTCCTCAATAATTAAGAGCAGTTCCTGACTGCACACTTTCCCCAGTGCAATACATCTGATCTCCTGACTGTTAGTACCAAGTGTACTGTGAATCCAAGTAAGATGAAGTTGTTGACTGTTTCAGTCTTTTCTCCAACTATTATGTTGCCTATAGGCCCAGTAGTGAGAATTTTTATTTTTTGATGTTGAGATGCAGTCCGTACTGAAGGCTGCAGTGTTTGACCTTCTGCAGCAAGTGCTTCAAGTCCTCCTTCCTCACTTTCCGCAAGCGAAGTTGTGTTAATAACCGAAGGTTATTAACGAGTCTTCTTCCAATCCTGATGCCACATTCAAGCTTCTCGATTAATTTGCTGACAGACTGAATAGGTATGGTTAAAGGACACAACCCTGATGCACACCTTCTCTGGTTTTAAACCATGCAGTGTCCCTTTGTTTTGTTCCAATGACTGTGTTTTGATCTGTGTATGTACAGGTTCCACATGAGCAGACTTAAGTGGATGTTATCTGTAATTTGCCATGATTTACACAGTTGAATCTTTTTCAGTCACTAAAACACAAGTCAACATCTTTTCTGTATTGTCTGCTTTAAGCTAGGATTTACTGGATATCATCAGTGATGATGAAGCCCTTCACTTTTTTAAATTATTATTATTATTATCGTTATCTTCAGCAACATTTTACTTGTGTGTGATACTGATGAGATTGTCCCAATAATTTCCCCAATCTTCTTGATTGCTTTTCTTTGAAATGAACACAAGCTGAGGGCTTAGTGATGTAGATGTGGTCAGAGCCCTTACATAGGTTGTACAGTAGCCAGGGCTTTGCAGCTGCTGAGGTGGACCCAGCTCCAGACCCCTAGCCCTCTGCCCATCTGGCAGGGTTTTCCTTGGTGTTAAAGAAGTGAGTGTGGCTGAGTTTAGCATCTCTCCTGACTGGCTTGAATACCAGGAGTCGCTCACCCTCTCCTGCACCCACATCTCCATTAGCTGGCTGGCTCGCTGGTAGAGTGAGGGGGACGGTTACCTTAGCTGGCTGCATTTGCTTTCAGCTGTGCCATTTGTGATACTTTGGGCATGCTGTCAGGAGGGAGAAGTCCTTGGGAAAAGCCATGCTGGGAAAGGTGGAAGGCCAGAGAAAGAGGATGGATTGGCACAGTGAGTGTAACAATAGGCTTGAGCATCTCCGAGATTGTGAGGATGGCTGAGGACAGGGCAAGGGTCAGATGTGCTATTCTTGGGGTTGCTGTGAGCTGTAGTTGACTTGATGGTACCTAAGAACAATAACGCTGAACTTACTGAAGTTTTACTGGATAGGTAAGTGCAAACAGTTAAGCGCTTGACTATCAACCAGAAGGTTGGTGATTCAAACCCACCCAGAGGTACCTCAGCAGACAGACTTAGTGACCTCTTTCAGAAAGGCTACAGCCTTGTAGCCCTACAGAGCAGGTCTGTTTTACATATACGGGCCCTTGAGTTGGGACTGACTCAATGGCAACTAACAGCAACTCTGAACCACCCTCTTCCTATGACAGGTGGGCAGGGTTTGGGGATGGCAGGATGCTGGACTACGAGGTTTCACGCAGATTTCCTTCCATGTGACTCTTCAGTTACTAACCCAGCCCAGTGGTTTGTCATTCAGGGGTCTTGGGTAGAAAGCAGTGGTCGGAGTGGTCAGCTGCTCGCACAGAAGGGTGTGCACACGTGGGATTAAAGCAGAATGACTAAGAGTGTCTGCCTTGGCGACCAAGCCTTGACTCACTCCATCTCACCACAGCGTGGTAACCGTGGGTAAAGCCCAGTTTCTTAATATGTAAGTGGAAATGGTAATAATAGTATGTTCAGGACTATTGTAAGGATTTCATGAATGAGTAACTAACTAAAAATAGCCAACGTTTACAGTTGGTCGGGTTAGCTGTGAGAGTGTGCCCTCATTTTTTATAACAGCCCTGTGGAGGGTATCTAACTAGCCGTAGACCTGTTTCCAGGGGAGGGAATGGCAGCATAGGGCAGTCAAGTGGTCAGTCAGAGCCAGTGCTGGTAAGGGCAGGCTGGTGGCTGAGGCCCTCAGAGAGCTGGACCGTGACCTGCCGTGCTCATAGTAAGCAGGTCTACTGGCCATTTCCTCAGAAATCTGAAGAATGAAGGGGGAAGTGGAAAGGGAGTGCAGGAGTGACTCTGTGAGTCAGCAGCCAGCTGAGCTGGACATGAACCCTGCAGTCCTGGTGGTTCCTCCAAGGCTGACCTTTCTGTGCGTCATCTTGTGGCCACAACCCCTTTGGCCTGGGGAGAGACCTATTTGCTCTGCTTGGGTTAGAGAAGGGAGGGTGGGGTAGATGTCTGGTTGGGCAAAGGGCTGGCACTACATAGCTGACTGCCAGGTGAGTCCCAGGATCACAGTGTGACAGACCTGGAAGAGAGCTCAACAGTCAGCTGGGTGGCCCAGCAGCCTAAGGTCTGAGAAGGTGACGGACCAGGTCCTGGGCATGTCCTGTGTGGTGGCTTCATGTCCACCTCCAGAGCCTCTCTTGCTAGTGCCTCTGGAGCTGTGGTTAGCCAGCCTGTGTATCATCGCCTTAATGGTGGACGTCACCACCACCAGGCTTGGGGTGTTGAGGTGACAGCGATAGATAATCCTACTGCATAGTGACTGACCTCATGCTACAGCCTCCAAAGAGGATGCCCTTCTATGTGGAGGAAAAAGGTGTTTTCAGAGGGGAAGGGATGGGAGGGTATAGGGAGAAGGAGCTTCTTACTCCAGAGAGGGGAGCAATGTTTTCTTTCTTTTTTTAGCCTGTTAAAGGCACTCATACAGTAGAACTATTGTGATTTTTTTCTCTCTAAACTCCTCCTCCTCCTCTGAAAACCCACTGGAGGGTCAGTTTTGATGGTACATAACAACCACCTTACATTAGACATTTTCAAAAGCAGTTACTCTCTTAGTTTTTTAAACTCACATTCTTAACATTTTAGTCTTTTTTTAAATTTTTTCTTCATTTTAGTCTTTTCCTTGTTCTCTTCTGTTCATCTGTTTCTCAGGCAGGCTGACTGATTCCCTGGGGCGTCCCCACTACCAATTCCTTTTGCTGTGTGACTTATTGTCCCACACCTCTCATGGTCAGGAAGGCCTTTCTTATTTCTGACCTGACACACACCAGCTCTGGTTCTAACTCGTTTACTCAGGGGAGCTGAAGAGCTTTCCTCAAAATAACCCATTTAGAGACCTGGCCTGTTACGTGATCTTCCCCTGCCACCTTGGGCTGTGCCCTTTCCGAGAGTTATCCTGGTTGCCATAAGAAAGGAGAGAAGATATAAGGCCCTCCTTTATCTGATCCTTGAACTGCCCAACTCTGAGTGTGCCCCACAAAGAGAAGCCAGTTCTCTCTTCCTTCCTGCAAAGGCTCTGAAGGTGTCTGCTGACCTGGATTTGTGGGTACCTTCTCCCTGTGGGAGTCTGAACACACCTTAGGAAGTGCTCTTGGGTGATGCGGATGTCCCTGTCAAGATGCCTAGACTCTTCAGGGGGCAGCCTTAGCTCTTCCCAGGCCCCCATCTCTGCCGCCCCAGAGAGGAACACCAGGCCTGGGAACATCTATTTGGCAGAAGTGGCATAAAAAGCACAGCATGGCATAAAAAATACAACCCAGGAAGCTGGAGGTTCCATTCTGGTTATGCCACCAACCTGCTAGTTCTCTGTGTCAAGGAGTCCCTGCGCTGTTTTGGGTGCTGGTTCCCTAATCTGAAGGCAGTGCTCTGAAATCTACACAGTCTTCAGGGCCCTTCTAGCTCTGTGTCCAGGACTCTCTCCTCCTGTCTGCTGGGCCCTTCCCTGGCTGTGGGATCTTCCTATTGAAGAGAAGGTACAGACTTAGTCTCACAAAGCCGAGTGGCCTTGGGGAAGTCAGGCAGGGTTCACAGTGGTTCCAGAGCTTGGAGCTGTCTGAGGAGTGTGTTTCTTTCTTTCTTTTTTCTTTTTTAATGCGTGTACCGTCAAATTGGATCTGACTGGTACAGGAGGCGACTGTTCCTCCTTCTTCAGCAGAGCATCTGGTGGATTTGAACCGTGCACTTCTGGGATTGCAGTACAGTTTCCTGCCACTAGGCCACCAGAGCTCGCCGAGGAGTGTGTTTCTGTCTCCTTGAGGGCCTCTGGACCCCACACTCACCATCTATTCCAATGAATAGCGCTGTTTCAGGGTACACACTACCACAAACCTATCTGAAGCGTCATGGCATTATCTGAAGGAACCAGAAAGTCCTGTCTCAGACCTGCCTGTCTGCACAGCTCCCAGCCCCTAGTCGCCAGGCCTGGACACTCACTCACCCAGGTCTCTCACACTTCCCCTGACTCGGCCTGGCCCATCCTCTAGTCTGCTGGACCTCTGGACCTTCCCCTCCACGGCCTGGAAGTCCTGGCACTGGGGATAGCTTGTTTTCTTGTTCTTCTGGCTCTGAACTTGGAGCCTTGGCCCTGCCCCAGCTCTTGCCTAGTGCTCATGCCAGCTGCCATGGGGGCTGGGCTGATCCCTTCAATGGGCCCCAGCTGGCCCTGTGACTCACTGAGAGCCTTTGCTGGGGCCATCAAGCCGCCTCTCTGGTTGTGACGTCAAGTCCTCAGCACTGGAAGGTTTTCTTAACAGAACAGGGAGTTCCCAGACTCCTCTCTGGCTTCTTATCTAGCACACCGCAGATGCTCAGAAAATCCTCTGAGCTCCTGAACTAAATCCCCCTCCTGCTGCTTGCCTAGGCCAAGGGGCTGATGCCCACTCAGAGCGCACCAGGGGCTCAACTGGTGGGAATGGAGAGGATGGACAGGTAGACAGAGGATATGCTGCTGCTTCTTCAGAGGAGAGTGCATGAAGCGCTCTTTGCACAGAGACCATGGGCTGGGCTGGAAGGGATTCGTGTGGCTGGCTGAGCTGGGTCTAGCCATTCATGACTGCTTTTCTTGTTTCCCATTTTAGGTTCAGGCAGTTGGGGTACTCAGCCCTTGAGTGGCCATGTCCAACCCCAGTGCCCCTCCTCCATATGAGGACCGTAACCCTCTCTACCCTGGCCCCCCACCCCCTGGGGGATACGGACATCCATCTGTCCTCCCAGGCGGGTACCCCGCTTACCCTGCCTACCCGCAACCTGGCTATGGTCACCCTGCTGGTTATCCCCAGCCGATGCCCCCCATCCACCCGATGCCCATGCACTACGGTGAGTCTGTGGGAGGCACATGGGGAGGGAGGGAGGCATCAGCAGATGAACTTCCCTCTGTGTCCTTCCTCCTCACTTCCTGTTTAATCTTTTCCTCACTTTCTCTGCTTAGATCTGTTTCCCTGTCTTCTTTACCTCCCTCGTTTCTCATCACCCAGATAAGCCTCTTTTATCCACTAAGGACACTTAAGTCCATAAGCCACATACCAAACCGTGAACACCCAGATGACAGAATGGTTGGGTAATCCTCAGAGCATTACCTTACAGGACTGTTTCCTTGTTCTCTGACAAGGTAGCTGTCACTTATCTAGGCCTGCCATCTTCCTTGGGAATTGCCTTTGAAACCCAGTGCACCCTTTGTCTGATAAATACCATTCTGGCTATTTTGCAAACTTCTGAAACGCATGTGCAGCTAAATTTGATCAGCATCATGGCAGGTGAAAGCCACAGCTGGTCAGAAATGAGATTCAAGCACAGAGGATCTGTTTTCTTGGTGGCTCATATATAGATTTTAAAAGCAGTTCCAAAGGAGGCATTCAGGAAATGCTCTGCACTCCCATGGCATCCTTGGGATCCTGAGTACGTGTGTTCTAGAATGAGAGCGCATGCATGCGTGCACACACACATACACACTCTCACTCACACACTATCTCCCCTTCCCTCCCTCTCTCCTCACACTCCATCCTGTGTTCTGACTCTGCCCTCCCTAAGCACTTTGCTCACCAGGAGGGGCTCTAGGTGATGCTCTGGGCCTGCTCTTGCATGGCTGCCCTCTAAGTAAGGAACCCTTGGACAATAGAGACCACATGCCTTTATGTTCCAGTAGCGCCTGGGTGTGTGCTGGGAATGTAGGGCCCTCAGTAAGTGCATGCTGATGGGGAATGGCTCCCAGTTGAGCCCTTCATTGCAAGTCACATGGTTCTATGTGGTGTCCAGTGCTGGGACACAGAACATCCAGAAAGGACTCTGGCTTGGGAGAGAAAGTCCTGAGTTGTGACACTTGCCTCTGGCTGAGGATACCTGAGATCTTGTTGGGGGAGAGTGTGTGTATGAGGAAGCTCGTGATTGGGACCACATGTCCTAGGTTCCCAGTTGGTCATAAGTACTGTGTCCCTAGGTCCAGGTGAGGGCTATGGTGGGGAGGAAAGAGCAGTGAGTGACAACTTCGGGCCTGGAGAATGGGATGACAAGAAAGTCCGACACACCTTTATCCGAAAGGTAAGATACATGAGGGGAGGTAGGTGTTCCTGAGGCTCCATGGGCTATGAAAGTCTTCTTTTCCTTCTGTTTGACCTAGAAATCGCTCTCCTTCTTTATGAGAAGAGGTGAGGTGAGGGAAGCAGGATTAGCCCAGGATTCATTCCCTGAGCTACCAACTTCCCTCTCTATGCCTCCAGGCCTGGTCCCCTGCTTTCCAGATTCTCTCCAGCCCTATACTCCCCTAAAGTCCTCAGCTCCCTTAACTTCAGTGGTCCTCCTCCTTGCCACATTGAACCTGGTAAATGTTCTGTCTTCCTCAGACGTGGCTTTTCCTATTAGACTGAATGTCAGCAACATGAAGGTAGAAATGCCCATTGGTAACCTGCCTGTGCTCCACCTCACATCTGCACAGAGCCCTGCTCACAGGGCCATCACAGGGAGGGTGGGGGCAGTGGAGCAGGGGGATGGAAGTCATGCACCAAGGCTTCCTAAGGACAGGGAGAGGTGCTGCACAGGAGCAGCTGGCGGTGGGGAGAGGCAGCAGTGTTCGGTTCTGGGAGCAGGGTTGTAGAGTAGCTAAGCCTTTCTCCTCACTAAGTGTGGCATAGCCTCTAGGCCAGACTGTGGCAGGGCTCTGGAGTTGGGAATAATGTACGAATAAATCCTACAAGAGAAAAAACCCTTCCCCTCACCACTGAAAACCGGGAGAAGTGGGTCCATTGGCATTTGGGGCTCCCTTGGGGCAGGCCAGGGAGGGCTGACTCTTGTGGCCCTCGGTCTGTGTTGCAGGTCTACACCATCATCTCCGTCCAGCTGCTCGTCACTGTCGCCATCATCGCCATCTTCACCTTCGTGTGAGCGTTGCCCACACGCGCCCACCGTGACAGAGGGGCCTGGGAACGTGGGGTGGGGAGCTCTTGGCCCTCAGAGAGGGGTGGGTGGGAAGAGGAGCTGGGATTGAAGGGAGGAGACAGGACAGGGAAGGAGGCAGGCCGCCTGGCAGGGCTTGGGGCTCAGCAGCAAGGAAGGCTGAGTGAGGTGAGCAGTCTTTGTCTTCCTATCTCTGCAGGAAGCCGGTGGGCGACTATGTGAGGAGAAATACGGCTGTCTATTACGTGTCCTAGTGAGTGTGTGCTCTGCTCAGGGCAGCCCTGGGTGGGAGGGAGGGAGGGGGCAGTGACTGCTTCAATTTCCAGTTGGCCTGCTCTCTTCAGAGCAGTGACCGAAAAGCTTTTGGAGAGGAGCCTCCAAGGTGCTGTTGCCAGATTCCTGTGCCAGGCCTTGTGGGGGAGGGTGTACCGTGGGGTGAATACACATCTTTAAAAATGGTCTCTGGGTTCCCTTAGTCAGTCATCTGTCTTCTGTGGCCTTTCTACACCTTCTGGCCAGAATCCCTGTGTCACAGAGGGTCTCGGTGCCCTGGCTGGGGGCCATTTTGTCTTTACTGCACTGAGTAGCTTCCCCTTTGGGCCTCAGACCACCACCTGTGCCTGCACTGCCAGGCTGGCCCTGAAGGGGCTGAGGGGCAGTTGGGCCTGCAGGTTCTCTCCTCGTCTTTCTCCCCAGTGCTGTCTTCCTGGCCACCTACCTGACTCTTGCCTGCTGCCAGGGACCCAGGTGAGTCCAGAGGCTTAGAAAAAGGGGTGGGGGAAACTCCTTAAAGCAGATGAATGGAGACTCACAAGAAATGATGATAATCAGTGGGAAGAGACTGTGACATCAAGAGAATGGCACCTAATGTACAAAACCCATTGTGTATAAGTTGTTGAACAGAAAGCTAACTTGCAGTGTCCATTTTCACCCAAACCTCAATTGGAAAACCAAAACCAAACAATAGCAAAGATACCACTAAAAGGTAAAGCTCAAAAAATGCAAAATGATAACGGCTACTGTTCTGCTAACTACCAAGTACCAAGTACACATCCTGTGTGTGTAGCTGTCCACTTATTTATCTTCCTTACAACAACTTGCAAAATAGAGAGAATTTTAACTCTGTAACAAGAAGTGCCTGGGGCTCAAAAAGGCTAAGAAACATCCTTAGAGTCTCACAGGTTGCAGTTTAATCCACGGTTGACCCTGGCCCACTGCCCCATGTTGCCCCTGCACAGAGCACTTGAGCAGGTACCTTAGGCCATGTCAGGCCCCCCTCCATCTGGTAAGAGCCCATACTACCTGATCAGCCCACAGCACCTCCTCATGGTCTCTCTTTCCCGGCAGACGCCGTTTCCCATGGAACATCATCTTGCTGACCATCTTTGTAAGTCTCACAGGCTGGCCTCAGGGAGGGCACAGGGACATCACTGCAGGATGGTCTGGCATCTTCACCCACCTTATCTCCCCTGTGGCTGCCTTTTTCACACTTAGTCACTTGTGTCCCCAGATCTGACAATCCACCGTAGTGTTCTCCCTGCCCCCACGCCCACCTTTCTTCACAAGTGTCTGACACTTATCTCTGTCCTTTCCTCAGACTCTTGCCATGGGCTTCATGACAGGCACCATTTCCAGGTACATTTAGGGACCACCTCTTTCCAAGTATTCTTGGGAAGTATACATTACGGGGGAGTGGGGTGTTCCCTGGCTGGCTGTTACTGACATGGGTATTCTGGGCAGGATCTTTCTGGAAATAATGGTTTTGACGTCATCCCTACATGACTAATGCCTCGGTTCTTGCTCACTTCCTTCCTAGTATGTATAATACCAAAGCTGTTATCATTGCAATGATCATCACCGCCATTGTATCCATTGCAGTCACTATATTCTGCTTTCAGACCAAGGTAAGGCCATGGCGGCCCCTCCTTGACCAGCTTGGCCCCTTTCTCATACACACTTGGCCCTTTGGACTTGGCTATTTGGAAACCTAAGAGAAGGGATTCCTGAGATGGGAGGGCTCTGACCCTAGACTCAGATTTCCCCTGGTGCCCCTGATCTCCTTCCCCTCTTCTTTGCGTTTACACCCCGCCTTCACATCTATCCAGAAGGTGACAGTCACTGCTGTGCCCCTGGTGGGCGGGGCTCAGTTGGACTGGCTAGGCAGCTTACTGTGGGCAGGTAGCAGTCATCTGACAGATGCTTACTTTTCTTGTCCTGGCAGGTGGACTTCACTTCATGTGCTGGCCTCTTCTGTGTTCTGGGAATTGTGCTGATGGTGACTGGGATTATTACTGCCATTGTGCTGTCCTTTAAATATGTAAGTTCCCCAGGAGAGCTGAAATTTGTGACCCCAGTGCTCAGGGCAGACTCTCTGTGGTGTCATGGGCTCTGGGAAGGCTCTGTCCTCCAGCATCTCATCTGGCAGCAAAGGTGCCAATCCTGAGGTCTACCTTTTTGGGCTGAGGGCTAACAGACAGACAGATAGCCCTGGAAGACAGAGCCCCTGAAGCCTGTGCAACGGCACCATATGGCTGTGGGGAGTGGTAGTTAGATCTGTGGGGTAGCTGAGACCAAGTCCTAGAAGGCTGCCTGCATGTGGACTTCTGCAACCCAGAAGATTGAGAAGATGGGTTTGCAGGACCTTAGAGATACAGTATCCGACTCTCCCTTACTTAGTCCATCAGCTGGAGAAGAATATGAAGATGAAGCCTCTAGGCTGAGGGGAGCTGCATGAGGGGAACCACATGGAAAGGGGAAGAATATGAACAAGAGGCCTACTTGCCCACTCCCCAGCAGGCTGGCCCTGCTCTTATGAGAAGCACCTGGGGAGTGTGGAGCAGGGCTGCCTGTGGGTGCTCCCTGGTAGTGATACTCACTGGGGAACTGGCGAATGGTTTTCCTCACGGCCCCTTTCCTTAGCTCAGCCCTCCCAAGCTGGGTTGCAGGAACCACTCTTGAATGCTTGAATGATTACGAGGAATGCTAATGGCACCCTTCCACCAGTGCCTGCCTGGGTTTGCCCCTCTTGAGCTGTAACTCAACTACTTTCTTTTCCTCCAGAGTACAATGGAAACCCCTGTACTTTGGCTAACTGGGATTGGTTTGGTTCAGAGATTCAGTGATTGGCCTTTGTAAGATGACCTCTGTCTTACTGTCCAAATTTATTACCAGTCTCAGTTTCTTCCAAGATCCTGAAGACAGAAGCATTACTTTCATGGAGGGCTTGCTACCCAGGTCAACCCACTCTGATTTAGAACCCCTGGGGAAATGGGTGCCGAGGGCCTGCCATGGTTCTTGTGCTTTGCTGAAGTTCTAACCCAGCTCTGCCCTCACTCTCCCAGGTTCCCTGGCTCCACATGCTGTATGCTGCTCTGGGGGCCATTGCTTTCACCCTGGTGAGTCAACCCCTCCTCCACCCTGCCCCAGAAGGCAAGCTGAGAGAATGGAGGGGAGAAGTCGAGGGAATAAAGTATGGATGTAGAGTGCTTGAGTGGGGAGCAGCTCTGGTGGTGTAGTGGGAAAGAGCTGAGCTGCAATCCTAAAGGCACATGGTTCCAATCTACCAGCTGCTCCTTAGGAACAGGATAGACAATTCCCTCCCATGTAATTTGCTGCTTCTGAAAACTTGCTGGCTACAGGGTTAGTTATGGGTGGGTTTTGACTCGATGGCATACAACAGTAGAGTGGGTAGTAGGACCACAGCTGATTTCTCCATGGTCAGGATATATCCACTGACTTTCTGGGTCTTTCTGTCATCTTACATTGCCGGTTATTAGAACACTCAGCAGGCAGCATTATAGGATATCTGTTTCCCTCTCTAGACTGCGATCTGATTGAGGGCAGTTCATTAATATGTACCTAAGAACTCTGCATAGCCTGCAGGATCCCACAACAAAGTTACTGACCCAACATGAGCTCTGGACACTGGTGTCCTGGTTCTTACTCTGACTCCCCTGCCCCTGTAGTTCCTGGCTTATGACACTCAGCTGGTTCTGGGGAACCGGAAGCACACCATCAGCCCGGAAGACTACATCACTGGAGCCCTGCAGATCTACACAGACATCGTCTACATCTTCACCTTTGTGCTACAGCTTGTGGGGGACCGCAATTAAGGAGCACCCCCATTCTGGCCTACCCTGGGCTTTCCCTTCCTAGAATGCTGGGCCTTGGAACTGGGTTCTGAGCCTCAGACCCTTCCTGCCCTTCGAGTGGTAGGCTCAGTTTTCATTTTGCCCTCGAGATGGTGGCCTCTGGCTGCGGACGTTGGTAGATATCTGGTTGGGTTGGAAGAGCTGGGAACTGACTCTTGCCCTTTGTGGCTGAGCAGGCACTGTGCTGAAGATGTCCTCTCTCCTCTGGCCACTAAATGGCACCATATTTTTAACAGCTGGGGCTAAGGGGAGGGTCTGTAGCTAAAAGGGAACGTGAAAGCAGGAAGGGACTTCCAAGACGATGAAGGTTCCATTCCTATCTCCACCACAGGCTTCTAGGTGAGGCAGCTGTAGCTGTCTCCTCTGCCAGCCTGACCAAGCCAAAAGCTTTGATTCAGTCATCTGAATTTAAAACTTCACTCTCCTTTGTTCTTTTGCAACCTGTGGCACCTGTTAGGTCAGGAAAGTAGACAAGATCTGAGCACCTGGGCCTTCTTCACCCTCTTTCCGTATGCATATGTATTTGTTTATCTGGGTGGGATGGGAAAAGGAGAGCCAGCAAAGTACAGAGCTAAGCAGACCAGCACCCGCTCTAGCGCTTTCATAGCTCGTGGTGGCGGTAGAGGGCAGGCCCATTTTCAGCCACTGGTCCCCATTCTCTAGAACTACTGGGATGACCCTCAGGGGACCCTCCCTGATGCGCCTGAAATCTCTGGGCAGGGGCACCTTTTGCTTTTTGTGCTCAGGCTGCTCAGAGCAGAGATCGTCAGCTTATAGGATTTTAAGCTTATAGGATTCTAAGAGTGGCCAGAAAGAACAGGATGAACAGATGGGTGGGAGTGCCCCATCCCCTTCTATGTGGTATCTAAGCCGACCATGACTCCCACAAAGACTTCAGTGTTCTTTCCTTCTGCTAAGCCTGGGAGGACCTGAGAGAAATAAAACTTCCTAAGTTTGTTCTTATGTGCTGGTGGACTTGACATTTGAGCTTTGAGCCCCATCACCCTAACATGCCACTGCTTTTTATGTTAACACACGTGCCTCAAGCTGGAAGAGAGGAAGGCATCACTCTATAGGGTAGGGGTGAAAACCATGTCAGCTCCAGACTGTTTTTAGCAATTTCTCTACTGTGGACCTGGTCTTGTTATATTTATCACACAAAGGGACACAACCAGAAATGCAATAAAGTTTTATGTTTAGAAGTGAAACTCCTTTATAGCTGTGGTTTTCTTCGTAGTAAAGTGTCAGGCCAGGGGTGTTGACATAGCTCTGCCCACATATCCATTTCCACAGTGTGCCTTGATTTCCCTGATTTGCTAAAATGATCCAATATACTTCAAATCCTAACGATGATGTCAAAAGCTAGCGAGCATTCAACAGTCAGCTGGGGAGCATTCCATCTTGCAATACTGGATCTGGAAGGGACCTCGCAGAGTGATGCTTAATCTTCTCTGGGCCAGAGCCCTTTCAGAAAGCTCAAGAGAGTTTGCTTCTCCACAGCTGCACACAATTTTTCATAGGGAGTGGGACACAGACCCCAGGTTCGGAACCCCCTCTGCCTTAAAAATCACCAGCACAGTCTCTTACAAATGAGGAAACTGAGGCCCAGAGGGGTTGAGTGACTTGGGCTCAGCCGAGAGTGCTTTTCCTCCACACCCTAAATGACTCACTTGATTCCTTTAATTATTACTTGAAGGCTGAGTGAGACTTCACTCTCCTGGACAGATGCTCAGAGGGCTTGGTTCTGAGCTCAAGCCTAGGCTTGTTGCACTGAAGTCTGTGTGGTTTCCCCACCATCCAGCTGGGAACACTGAACATTACTGTGAGAGGAAGTACACAGCAGTAATCTGCCCCACCCTCGGTCCCTCCCATCCCCAGGGATTCACAATCCCAGAACTGGTTCCTTTCTACTGACCCGCTCAGTAACTTTATTTGCCTTTGGCTGGCTTCATGATGTGGTTGGGACAGAGGCTGGCAGCAGCCTGGGCTTCATGCGCCCCCTGGTGGGCCTCAATGGCAAGACCAGAATCGCTGCCAATCCCACGGGAGCCCATGGTCAATAGAGTCTAGGGGAGGTTTGCAGTATTCCTCAGGCCTTCACCCCAGATGGGGCATATGAAGAGGAGGACCTGTATCTCGGGCTCTCATACTCGCCCGTGTTGGACGCCCGCATGTTCTGTCGAGCCTTCATCTGCTTCAAACGGTCCTTGTCCACTTGCCACTTGGCGAGGATGAAGAGGAGGATACCACAAGGGAAGCCGATGGCCCTAGGGGTGGGGAGACGTGCACGGGGTTTGGAGAGGGGCCAACCTGAGCCAGGGGATTCGGGGAGAATCTCATTCGAGCTGCATCAGTCACAAGGATACTGCAATACCTTGTTTCTATTTATCTTCTACGATGGCTGCCAGATGGCCCCACACACAGATCAGATCCTGCGCCCTGCTCTGCTTAAAGCCCTGTGAAAGGTCTCCATCACTTGCTGGCCAAGTCCAGACTCCTAGACGTGACACACAAGGCCTAATGTGGTTAGCTATATGCCTACCTCTTCACCCTTCTCCCCCGGCATGAACCCTGCACTCCTGCCATCCAGACTGTGTAATCCTCCAGAATGTCCGTCTTTCCCTCTCCAAGTCCCCCTGACTGAATTGCCTGAGGGGCTGGTTTCTCAAAGCCTCTCCTTAATCTAAGTATCTAATTTGGGAGGCACTATTGATGTGAAGGGAAGAGCATGAAGTCACAAGACCTGATGAAAACCCCAGCTCTGAGGCTCAGTTTCCTCCTTCATGAAATGGGGATGGAATATTTATCTCAGAAAGACTAACATATAATTATATGCATATATGTATAGTATTGGCGCATCTCAGGTGCTGAAAAAAAAAGAGCTTATTTCCTTTTTTTCATATTTAATGATTACATATTAAGGTGAGCGTCAGTTCTAAATAACAATGCACTGAATGACTTCCTTCCTTCTAGGTGCAACTGTGCAGCTAACAAATCTCATGTAATTTCCATTCATTCATTCATGCCTGAAATTTGGGTCTCATCCCAAGCTCCCTAAGGGAGGGATAAGGACAGAGACTCGAATTTGGACCAGATCATTACAGCTTACTCTAAAGAAAACCCACTCTCTCCTCAATCCCACACACCTTCCCACGTGCCCTGTCCAATTCTTCTGCCATTCCAGTCCTTGCACTCACAATTCTCCCACACTGTGGAGTCAGCTCACCGTCTGAAACTTGAAGTTTCAGAGTCCTGCCCTCCCTAGGATTCCACTCCCCAGAGACGGGCAAAAGGGAAGTTAAAACTCACCAGGCTAGTCCCACAGCTTTCATGGGGTTCTTGGCCCTCTTTCTGGGAATGTATTCCAGCTCAGGAGACAGGGGCTCAGGCTCCTCCTTGCACTCCGGGGAGCTGTGGCTTTGCAGCGCCCGGGTCCTGTTCTGGGAAGCCTTCTCTCCTGAAAGAATACCTGTGGATGAAGGTTTGGAAAGTCAGAACGAGGGGAGAGAGCTTGGGAGACGGGCTGAGGAGGAGCTACTGCGATCTGAGGAAGGGGAGCGACTGCAGTTTGGAGTAAGGCGTCCAGGAAAGGGAAATGGGAAAATTGCCATGGAGGTGACACCTTTGGAAGACACTTTCACGTCATTGCTCGTCACCCTGGTGCCAGGAGAGCGAGCTTCGAGCTTTGCTGTTCTTCGTCGTCTCAGACGACAGGCTAGGAAGGACTGCAGTGGACCGAGAGGAGACGTACGAAGGAAATTCTGGGAAAGGCGTTTAAACTGCAGAGTACTGGAAGTGGAAGAGAGCTTAAAGATCGCTTATTCTAGTTTAGCTCTTCAGTTTATAGAAGAGGAACACTGAAGCCCCGAGAGATGAACTTCCTCGTCCAAGGTCAAAGCGCTAATTAGCCGGGGCCAGAACCCAAGCGTCCAGGAGCTCAGGGCTCTTTCCTCTGCACTGCGGTGAGTGTGAAACACCTGGAGCGCGGGAGTCTAAAAGGCTTCCCAGGGGTTCTCAGTCTCAGCAAGACCCCAGAAGTGACTTGTAACCCAAAACCGGAGGATGGTCTGGGTGACCTCTCAAGAGCATCTTTTAGCCCCCAGACTCTTTAAGGTCCTGCAGAAAGGTATACGCATGAATGGACAGCCTGGTCAGGCTTGCTATCGAGGGACGAGATGTGAAAGAAAAGTAATCTTCTGCAGTCCTGCCCTCCCCAGGGTCCCTCTCCTTACCCCGGAGGACGCGGGCATTTCTCGCCCCCCGGCCCTTCAGCGCCGTAGCAGCTACCACCGCCGCCATGTTCAGATCCCACTCCCCTTCACCGCGCTTCCCGCTGGGAATTGTAGTTTGCGTCAGGGGCCTCCCCCTCTTCTTCCGTCCCGCCTACAGACTGGGTACTACATTTCCCAGAAGCCCCAGGGCTAGACGTTGGAGAACTACTCTTCCCATGAGACACCGGCGGCACGCACGCTAGCTTGTTTCACTCCTGTTAGGGGTGGAGCCACGATGGGCGGAGTTTAAAGTCTCCCTGCCACGCCCCGTACCTTCTTCCAACTCTGCGCTGTGATTGGCCATTCAGCCAGTCAGTCCTCCTCGCTATTGGCCGAACGACCGTCCTTCTTCCTGCCGGGGAATCGCCTACGCCTACTTCCTCCCGGGAGGAGGGGCTCGAGTTCCGTGTCGTCGCGCAGAGCTGACTCTGGGAGGCGTTTGGGCCCAGAGAAGTGGTTTGGCTGCTTACGCCGCATGGAGTCCGAATCGAACACCGGGGCTGCTGCTGACACCCCTCCACTGGAGACCTTGAGCTTTCATGGCGATGAAGAGATTATCGAGGTGGTAGAACTGGATCCCGGCCCGCCGGACCCGGGTGAGAACTGCCGCTTCCCAGGCCACGGGACAGGAGTCGCTCACCCCTGGCCTCTGACCCCCGCTTCTTCTCCCTCCCCCACACCCTACCTGTCACTCTGATCAACCCTCGCTCCCTTCATACGCACATACTTAGTTCTCAGGCCTGGCCTGGGTAGGGGTTTCCCTGACGCCTCTGGCCCTTCTCCTCACACACCCCCTTCCCATCATCCCCTCGATCTCTTCCCACACAGTCAGACCAAACCGGGGTCATCAGCCCTCCCCTGCCCTCCCCCCATGCACTCATTTCCCCTCGCTGCTCCCCTACCCCGTTTCCCCCCCCCCCGCCCCTCTTTTCCCCCCGCCCCCTCCCCCCCGTCTGTTGTTGGACCTCGCTTCTCCCCTTGCCACTCGACCCACCCTTGCCCTTAGCATCTCTTTCCCTCTCCCCACCCATCTTATCGCTTACCAAGCCCCATCTTTTTCACTTTCTCCAAAGCAGACGATTTGGCCCAGGAGATGGAAGATGTAGACTTCGAGGAAGAGGAAGAGGAGGAGGAGGGCAACGAGGAGGGCTGGGTCCTGGAACCCCAGGAAGGGGTGGTCGGCAGCATGGAGGGTCCAGATGATAGCGAGATCACCTTTGCATTGCACTCAGGTAGGTTTAAAAAAAAAAAAATAAATAGATTACTTTAGGGTCAGGGTGTGGACTTACCTGCAGCCCCAGCCTTCATGTTTTCTGACTCCCGCCATAACGTGCACAACACAGCCCTTCCATTGCGTAGTTGAGGCCTCTTGGAACTTAGATCAGTTGAGCAGGGTGTTTAGTGGGATGCAAGTAAGAAAGTTTTTCTTTTTTGAGAGAGCCTAGTTAGTTTGAAACACCAACCTTTGGTATCCTCACCAAGGGCTTAACTGTACCACCAGGGTTCTTCAGTTTGTGCTGATTGTGTGTTTTAAACACATTGTACATAATGTTCTCACATTGAACTTTTTAACAAGAAAACCATAATACAATGTTTTCCTTACTCTGTAACCAGTTAGTGACCTCTCAAATAGAGAACTATACTTTCTGCACACGTACCCACTTCTTGTCCATGACCTCGGTGTGGGATGTGAAGGAGATACAGGAAATGTCCGTGATGTGGGAGGGAGGATCTTGTCCTGGAGAAGTACAAAGAGTCTCCAACAGCCTAATTTTTTGAAACTTAAAAGAACTTGCACCAGGAAAAAAAAGAGAGGTTGACTTAGGTTATATGTAAGGGTGGGCCGAAGCTCTGAAGGACAGAGCCCTGGGTGGGTGCCCGGTCCTCACACTCATGGACTGTTTCTTGGGACAGCATCTGTATTTTGCGTGAGCCTGGACCCCAAGACCAACACCTTGGCAGTGACTGGGGGTGAGGATGACAAAGCCTTCGTGTGGAGGCTCAGTGATGGTGAGCTGCTCTTTGAATGTGCAGGTGAGTGACCCAGGGGAGCTTGTGTGTCTTCTGTGTGATCTTAGGGGACTTATCTGCAATGACCGTGCATCCATTCGCCATATATTTACACCTGTGCTGTGACAGCACTTTGCGGTCACCAGGGACACAGAGGCTTAACGTGGTCTACTGTGGGGAGGGAAACAACAGTTAACCAAGGAAGCCCGAGAGACATCCTCAAAGGCGCTGACATTAGTGAAGGTATTACTGGGCAGAAGGAAGAATGGATGTACTTAAAACTGAGATGCAACATAGACAGAAGGGCTAAGACTCTAAAGAGGCCTGGGCTACCGTTGGTTGAGTGAAGACCAGCATTCCCTTTCCTAAGATCTAAGGCTGTTGGTTCTTGAAGGGACAACAGGTTTGGTCACCATACTTACCACCTTCTATCCCAGTTGGTCATTTCAGGGGTGCCAGATACCTGGTTCGTGTGCCCCAGCTCTGGGTGCCCTGAGCTCTCTCTCTGCCCCTGTTCCCTAATAGGCCACAAGGATTCTGTGACATGTGCTGGTTTCAGCCATGACTCCGCCCTGGTCGCCACAGGAGACATGAGTGGCCTCCTCAAAGTGTGGCAGGTGGATACGAAGGAAGAAGTCTGGTCCTTTGAAGCAGGAGACTTAGAGGTAAGGGCGTCAGTTGGGGTTGAAATGTGCAGACCTTGAGTAGAGGGTAAAGAGCTGGGGGTCTGGCCACTTCCGGGGACAACAGGTGTGTCCACGCCTGTCACCTGCAAAGTCTCTGGTGACCCTAAAGGCAAGGAAGCTTATTGAGCCTCATGAGGTGGTCTCTAAGGGGAGATGGGCTGGCAGGCCTATCCGTTGACCGTTCTCTCTGGCCAGTGGATGGAGTGGCACCCCCGCGCACCGGTTCTCCTGGCTGGCACGGCTGATGGCAACACCTGGATGTGGAAAGTTCCAAATGGGGACTGCAAGACCTTCCAGGGCCCCAACTGCCCATCCACCTGTGGCCGAGTCCTCCCAGATGGTGAGGGAAGCTCCCTGAGGCTCGAGTCCAGAGTTCTCCACCTCCCGAATCCCTCTTGGGCCATATGTGGCAAACCTGGTGCCTGGAGCACTGCCCTTGCTACCCAGCCCAGAGCAGACAGCTTCTCCTGCCCTACCTTCAACTGGGGACAGTCTCCCCTTCTCCTTCCTTGTCTCCTTCCCCTTTCCTCCCACCCCCCACCCCCACTACATATCCTGGCACATACTCCCTCTTCCTGTCTCATCTCTGCTTCTTGGGGCCTCTAGGAAAGAGAGCCGTGGTTGGTTATGAAGACGGCACCATCAGGATCTGGGACCTGAAGCAGGGGAACCCTATCCATGTCCTAAAAGGTATCAGAGATGGGGGAAGTAGCTACAGACCTGGGGCGAGGACAACACAGGATGAAACCTGATCTGCTCCCCTGCTCCATCCCTTAGGGACCGAAGGTCACCAGGGCCCTCTGACCTGTGTAGCCACCAATCAGGATGGCAGTCTGATCCTCACTGGCTCTGTGGACTGCCAGGCAAAGTTGGTCAGTGCCACCACTGGCAAGGTGAGTGGGTCCTGGATCTTGGCTCGGGAGCCCCCTGTGGCTCTGTCCTCTCCTCTTTTTCTTTCTCCTCTCCCCCCTCCCCCTCCAGCCCGTTCCTTCTCCCTTTTCTCACCCAGCCTCCCCTCCTCTCTTCTCCTCCTCTCTCTTTCCTCTCCTTCCCTCTCCTCCCCACCCCTCCCCGTGCCTTACCCTTGATCTTCCTGCTGTCTGTCTTCTCTACTAGAGGACCACTGGCCAGTCCCACTTCTCACTTTCTCTTGCTTATAGGTGGTGGGTGTTTTCAGACCTGAAACGGTCGCCTCCCAGCCCAGCCTGGGAGAGGGAGAGGAGAGCGAGTCCAACTCGGTGGAGTCCTTGGGCTTCTGCAGTGTGTAAGTGGGAGCCACACCTTGGCCTGGAGGCAGGGGTGCTGGGCCGACCTGGATTTGGAGATGTGAGCCAGAATCGTGGTTTAGGCAGTCGTCGTGGGAGAGGGGGGCTGTAGCTAGGGGACCAGGAACATGCAAGTGGCGCGTGAGACGAGGGCATTCTGTGAGCCTTCACTGTGCCCTTCTCTGTCCAGAATGCCTCTGGCTGCTGTTGGCTACCTGGATGGAACCTTGGCCATCTATGATCTGTCTACGCAGACCCTCCGGCATCAGTGTCAGCATCAGGTACAGGCATTTGGGTCCTGGGTTCCCTGTAGGGGGTTTCTACTCCCCAACCTGGATCCTTCTCCAGGGTACCCCCTCTTCCTCTTACTCCTGGCCTTCATCTCCCCAGCATCTGCCTTATCGCTAAGAGCTGAGAGTAGATGCCTGTCACACTCACATCCCTGACCCGTGCCTGTGTCTTCTCTGCAGTCGGGCATCGTGCAGCTGCTGTGGGAGGCGGGCACAGCCGTGGTTTATACCTGCAGCCTGGATGGCATCGTGCGTCTCTGGGATGCTCGCACTGGCCGCCTGCTCACGGACTACCGGGGCCATACGGCTGAGATCCTCGACTTTGCTCTTAGCAAGTAAGGGAAGTGGGCCAAGATGGTAATAGCATAAAAGGGGTCCTTGGGTATGGGGAAGTTGGTGAAGGGTGGGGTCAGACCCTATTGTCTTGTCGCACGAGTGCTGGGGCGGCCCATCCAGCCCTCACCCCAGGAATTTATCCCGTAGTCTCAGGACTGAGGTGCCTCCCCCACCCACTTCGGCCATGTGCTTTTCCAGTGCTGAGCACTGCTCATATGATCCCCGTGCTGGGTGCCAGCTTCAGGCATGCGCAGTCAGTGCTGGCACAGCACCGGGCACTATGGATATGAAATCAAGGAAGTGCTTGGAGAGCTGGGAACATCCTAGGCTGCTGGTGTGAGGCTGGGCCCAGGCATCCTCGTCCCTCTAATCCTGTGCTTTCTGTCCGCAGGGACGCCTCCCTGGTGGTGACCACGTCAGGAGACCATAAAGCGAAAGTATTTTGTGTCCAGAGACCCGACCGCTAAAGGTTGCCTCCTGTGGCTTGGTGTCTGGTGTTGAGGGAGATGGAGAGCGCCCCCCCCCTTTCACCAGCAGAGGCAGTGGGGTACCGAGGGAAGAGGAGGGAAGGGGGGCCTTGGACTACTTTCAACCCCTTCAAACTGATTTCCCCCCTCCCCGTCCATCCTTCTCTTTAGAGACCCCCCCCCCCAGGCCTCTCCCCCTTGCCCCCTGCCCAGCCCTGGCGGGTCCTCGAGAGAGGCTCTAGCCTTTCACTTTGGTGTGCTGGTGTGCGCCACAGGGGCGCATATTTATATGTGGGGAGTAGGTTCTGGAGTTCCCTTCCTTTCCCTTCCCAAGTCTCTGGGGGTGGAAAGGAGGAAGAGATTCTAGTTACAGATTTTAAAAAATGTAAATAAAATATACTTCCCAGAGACATGTCTGTGTGGATTTTGTGGCAGCTGGGCTTGTCAGGTGAGGGTTGCCAAAGAGTTCGTGGGGTTCTGGCATCTCCGCTCTCAAGCGGTCCTCTGTTCTCCCCAGCACTGCCTACCTGCCTAGACTTCTCCCTTGGTAGGTGCGGCTTGTTCTCAGGGTTCTGCCCGTGGTTGTTCTGTCCTGTTTCTGAGTGGTAGTGGTGTGTACCGTCCAGTTAGAACTGACCCATAGCTGACCCTCTGGCAGGTTTTCAGAGAATGTACATAGCAAAGGAGGAGATTGCCCATCTTTCTCCCACAGAGCAGCTGGTGGATTTGAACTTGGTACCATTGGGTTAGCAGCATAATTCGTTAGCACTAAGCCTCCAGAGCTCTGGAGTAAGAGAACAGTAGGCTGGGCCTCAGAGCTTTATTCAGCCAGAGCGGGGCCAAGTAACAGGACAGGGTCTTGGATCCAGGAGTGGAGACAGGAGAGGCAGACCTGGTGGCTGAGATAGATGATGGATGGATGTTTGTAGCAGCAATCAGCAGAGGCTTCCCTCACCCTAGTTCAAGTTCAAGTCCAAGTCAACACTGCTCTGGCTGCTGGTGTGGTAGGCAATGCTGGGGTGGGCACTGCCCCGGGAACCTCTTTTCCGAAGCCCTCGCAACCACCTTTGGGCAGCTGCCCTCCAGGGGGCTGTGTAGCGCTGGTCCCCCAGCCCCATGGCCACAGGCACAGCTGCCGCGCTGGCACTGCCCAGTGAGATGAGAGACAGTAGAGTTCCAGGCCCCAACGGAGGGCGCTGCTCATAGGCCAGGACTGAGAGCAGCAAGGTGGCCACGTAGGGCCCCCAGCACAGGCCAAAGAGCAGCGTGGCCCCCACCTGTGCCCTGGCCTGCCTCCAGGTGAGGGCCCGGGCCAGGGCCGACGGTGCACAACGGCACACTGCCCTCTCCAGGCGGCGGATGTCCTGCAGCTGGCGGTGGGCGATGACTAGTACTCGGGCAGAGAGGAGGGCAGCAGCGCCCACAGCAGGCAACAGGACCCCATAGATTTCAAGGTAGAGGTAGGGGGCTGGGAAGATGGCTTGGGAGCTGCAGTTAGCTCCCGGGGCCCAGTGGTTCCACCCCAGAGCTGGCAGGCTGGCAAAGAGCAGTGGCCCAGCCCATGTGAGGAGCAGGGCCAGCCGGGTGCTCCCTAGTGGCCGGAGGGGACACAGCACTGCCATGTAGCGTTCCCCATGCACCAGTAGGAGGTTGGCGAGCAGGGAGAGGAAGGAGAAGTTGGGGGCTAGGTAGAGGAGGACACAAGGCCAGTACCCCCGGCTGCTCTGGCTCCATAGCCCTGGCAGCGTGGGCAGTGCCAGGCCTGTGAGAAGCCCAGCTGACAGCAGGCTCAGGAAGAAGCAGCCGGCGGGTGGGCTGCGTAGGCGACGGTCTCGGGCAATGCCCAGAGCCAGGAGCAGGTTGGCAGAGACGATGAGGCTTGCCAGGACCAAGGAGAGCCCCAGGGTCCCCACAGGAAAGGGACTGGTCACCTCCCCAGTGCTGTTAGGTGTCATCTTGCAAGTTGGGAGCGGGAAGGCCTGGAGCAGCAGCTGGCATGCCTAGATGGGATGGAGGAACCAGTTAGAGGGCCCCAAGGGTCGCTGTCTTCTTGGTGGGGACTGAGCGTCAGTCAAAGGTGTGCACTAAGAGATGAGATCTATTCTGTTTGCTGATAATTTGTAATTTAAAAGTTATTTAAAATTTTTCGGTTTCTCTTGAAAAGCCTGTTCAAGACTAAATATGGCCTCATCAAACTCCAAAGTATTTTGTCCCTCCCTTGCGTCTGCATGGCCAAAGGAGAGGCCAGGGCCGGTAAGCAGCCCTCCAGCAGCCAGCATTCTAGAGCCTTCTGCCAGGAGCTCCGGGCAGGCACCGAGGTGATCCGTCTTCAGATGCTCACCCCCTGGCAGGGTGCAGAGAGCCAGCCCCAGAGATCTTCTGGCAGACATGACATTACTGAGAAGTGAGATACTCAAGTTAGTGAGGAGGCACGTGCCAGGGCAAGGGGTAGCAGCAAGAGGGGTGCCTGTCCCTTGTGCCCCTTCCCTTCATTTGGCCTTGAAGCCGATTCCAGCTCAGTGAGCAGCCTCCGGGTAGGACTTCCAGCCCATAAACTTGACTCCCGCTGCACACGAGCAGCAGGGCCCTTCCTGTTGAAGCCGGAGGAAGGAGAGGAGTTGCAGGCAGTGGGGGTTGGGGGGGGGGGCCAGTGACCAGGAGATGCCAGAAGCAGGGAGGGTGGGGAGAGGACACCCTTCCGTGCCCCTGGGAATTGAAGCTGACCCTCAAGAGGAGCAGGGGCGGGGCCTGGCCTTTCTGTGGCGCTCACTTGTTCCAGTCTTCACTGTCACTGCTCTCCCTGGTCCCAGAACCCCAGCACCTAGGGCTTCCCACCACCACATCATGGGACCCAAGGGAGGGTCCTGGGTCCTGCGGGTGCTTCTGCTTCTGTCAACAGGGGAGCAGGCAACTGTTGCTAGGAATCAAGTCAATAAGGAAAGGATCCTACCTCGCTCCCCCACCCTTGGCCAGGGCAGAGATCAGAGAGCCCACAACCAAGCTGAGCAGAGGGAGAGGTCCCTTTCCACACGGTCTCCCAGGGCCCCTAGCCCCAGGCCTCCATGCTGAAGTGCCCCTTCCCCAGCCTCACTTTCCCCAAATGCCCTCCAATGGGGCATCTTTTTTCTGTCTTCTGGGGTCTCCAGTTCCTGTTCCTTCCTTGTCTGCACCATCAGTTCTGTTAAACCCCAGGAGATCTCAGGCTCCACGCTCAGCCTCTGGCCTCTCAAGCTAGTGTCCAGTCCTACCCCAGCAGGGTCCCTCACCCCACCTCCAGAGTAGCATGGAGGGCTGGGGTGAGGATCTAGGATCTGGGCTTGTCTAGGATCTGGGGCGGTGTGGCCCAGGTTGGGGGTACTCACATGACTTCAGGAGGGCAAGTGAGCCTCGCCCAGCCCTGGCTTGCCTCCGAGGGTCGGAAGTGGCAGCCTCCAGTCCTGTAAGGCTTTGGGCAGTATCCGGTGTCCAGGCCAGTGAGTGTGGGGAGGCTAAGCGCTGGGTTCAGCAGCCTGGGCTCCCAGAGGGATGCTGGAGTGGAGGCCTTAGGGCTCCTGCGGCCCCGCCTCTGGGGGTGGGACCTGGTGTACTCCAGGCCAAAGCTATGGGAAGACTTAACATTGAGTGCCACCCCCGCCCCAGCCCCCAGCCATCCCTACGGTCTAGGTAGCGGCTTCCCTACTGCAGGGCACCCCGGCTTGAAGCCGTCTTACATGCCGCTTGCTCACTTCATCTGAGAAATATGTTGAAGTTAATGAATAATAATGATTTGGCCTGTCCCTCCCCGCTTTCCATCCCAAGGAATATATTTACATTTTATGAGCCTTAACCCTTAGGAGTGACTAGCCAGCTGACAGCACTTCTAGCTCCTTAATTCTGCTGCAGGCTGGTAACCGGTAGTGTGTGTGTGTGTTCTGGCAGTAGCTGTGTGTGTGTTTTCAGGTGGCAGTGACTAGGGAGGGGTGTGTGTGTGTGTTTTCAGGTGGCAGTGACCAGGGAAGGGTGTGTGTGTTTGAGAGTGTTCAGATGACAGTGGCTACGGAGCTCTTTTATCCTTTCAAGGAGCCCTGATGATGGCTAGTTGAAAGGTTTCAATCTGCCCAGCAAAACAAAGATCTGTGGGCCAGTTCTACACCGTCGAATAGGGGTCTGGAGTCCTAACCACCTTCACCCTGTTACCTGATGAATCAGGTGGTCCTTGAGCTGCAGCATATTGGGGTTGTAACAAACAGCACTTGGGATAGTTTTCTCTTTTTCACATTACCATGTTAGTATGTACTACAAACAACGCAGCATGTGGTTTGTGGATGTTACCATTCTCAGCTGTTTACTCACAGATGTTCATGACTTTGATTTATAAATATATGGATAATATGGGGAAGCTCTGGTGGCTTAGAGGCAAGAAGCTGAACTACAATCCCAGAGGCGTGCGCGGTTCAAATTCCCCAGATGCTCTGCTGGAGAAGGAGAGGCAATCTCCTCCTGTACCAGTCAGATCTGATTTGATGGTACACACACAAAAATAATAAAATTTAAAAAAATATATGGATAATACAAGGCAACAGGAATGAAAACGAAAAAAAAAAAATAAATGAATGAAGTTTTCATATTGTACTTAGGTCAGAACGGAAGCATGACAGGGGTCTTGGAAAGGAATCCTGGCGTAAGTTGGGAATGCCTGTGTCAGGCTAGCTCTGGCTTTCTCCATGGGGGTAATTCCACACTTTTCTCACTTGCTTTCTGATTTGTTAAGTTCTGGATATGAGGTACAAATGACTTGGGTATGAGGTTACTTGGATAGCAGGTTTCAATTAAAAATAAAAAAAAACAAGACCACTTCTCAGGATTGTGGGGTTACCACAGGACAAGGTATCCCAGTGCCTGACCCCTAAATGGGGTGGTCAGAGATCTTTAAAAAAAAAAAAAGACATCTCTTTTCAACTCCATAATGATTAAAAGGACTGAGTGGGATCTCAAATCAAAGATCTTTTGAAAGCCAGTTAGAAAAACTGCCATTTTAAGCCATGCGACTGTGTGAACTTGGGCTACTTACAAAGTTCTCTTGCTTTGGTTTCCTCATCTGTAAGATGTGGCACACAGGTGGCCCAAACAGTTAAGCTTTAGGCTGTTAACTCAAAGGTTGGTGGTTCACATCTACCTAGTGGCATCTCAGAAGAACTTACATCTGGTGACCTACATCTAAAAAGTCAGTCTCTCCTAGCAACAGTAGCAAAGTTCAGCAGGGCTGCAAACAACAAATGCTGGGGAGATTGTGGAGAGATTAGAACTCTTATTCACTGCTGGTGGGAAAGGTATAATGGTACAACCACTATGGAAGGTGATCTGGAGCTTTCCCAAAAAGTTGGAAATAGTCCAGAATGAAGGCTGCATAGTGGAGTGAACCTGGGGGTGGGGGGAGGGACTGGAAAACAATGAAAGAATTTTTCTTTTACTATTCAAGGAGAAAAGTGTACTGCGGTGGGGAGGGAGAAAAGTGCAGCAATGAATGAATGGGAAAAAAAATCTCTGTAAATTTTCCTGAAAATGAATAATAAAAGTGGATCAATGAAAAAAAAAGGTTGGAAATAGAAATACCATTTGACTCCACCACTGGGAATATACCCTCAAGAAACCAGTTTAACAGATAGATGTATGCACACTCATGTTTATTGCTGCATTACTCCTAATAGCAGAGAGAGAAGCAACTCAAATGCCCATCAAAAATGAATGGATAGAAAAATGACAGTACGTCAACACAATGGAATACTATGCAGCACTGAAAAACAGTGAAATAGTATAATATTACACAACATGGAGGAGCCTTGAGGACATTATGCTAAGGGAAATATCTCAGTCACAAAAGAACAAATACTGCATAACACCACTGTTATAAAATAGGACAGATATGGGGGGTTAGGGCGGGAATGGGGAAAGAGTGGATAGATAATGAACACTTGCATTAGAACAGATGAGGGGATGAACTATCTGAAAGGAATGTATGATTATGTACTATATGTATGAGAACAATCTGGAACAAGGGGTGCATTGCAGGGTGGGCTGACCGAAGAGGAGGGTCAAGGGGTGCATTGTGGGATGGGATGGGGAGAGAGAGGGAAGGAGAAAATGCAACAATGAATTTAAAAAGCCGGTCACTGAAAAATTCTGCTGAACACAGTTCTTCTTGGACACTCGTTGTTGCTGTTCACCATCTGACTCAGTGGGTTTTCAGAGGCTGCAAATTGCGTAGGAAGAGATTGTCCATTTTTCTCCTGCGAAGCAGCTGGTAAATGAAACCTGCCTGCCTTTGGATTGGTAGCACAACTCTCTACCCACTAAGCCCCCAGTTCTCTCTCGGACATACATGAGATCACCATAAATTTGAATCAACTTGAACAGCAACTGGTTTTTATTGTGAGATTAAATGAGTTAATGTGTTACGAGGATCAGCACTTGGCATTTGACAAACATTCAACAAAAGGTATCATTAGTATATAGTAAAAGTCTTAGTAGATGTATTCAGTATACCTGTCTCAGGTGCTCTGGCGGTGTAGTGTGTCATATACTGTGCTGCTAACCCAAACTTCAGGAGTTTGAATCCACTAGCTGTCCTGAAGAGAAAAGTTGGGCAGTCTCCTCCCATAGATTAAAAGCCTCAGAAACCTCAGAGTTGCTAGGAGTCAGAACAGTGTGTGACAGTGATTTTTCAACAAGAGGTAGCTATGATTATTAGAATTTCTGCCTTCTTTGCCTGTCCTTTGCGACCAGCCACATGTCTTCTCTAGGAAGTCCACAGAGAAAGGCAGTGAGGCCCTGGAAAGCATGTGGGAACACCACCTCAGCTCCAGAAGGAAACTGAACACTAGGCATAGGAAACAAGATCTATGACACTCTGGTGTTTGCCTTGTGTTGGTCTTTATGGCTTGGGGTGAGGGAGAGAGAAGCCAATCTCTCTTGAGTC